AAGAAGGTTTCCGAATCGCCAGACTTACTATGTTCAAGAATCGTTACAAAACCAAGTGGGAAAACAGATCCTTTAATATTTGATGTTGGAAATTTTCTTGTAAAATGTTTTTTATGGGATCTATATGTTTTTTCCCAATTTCAGTACATCTTAGCAGATCAGATATACATTTCGATTAGAGATCGTGCTTGCATCATGGGAAGCATAGTGATTGGGATGCCTTGCACTGTCGAATCTGGTAGATATTTCATTTTACACTCGAAACCTCTTATCATTTGCTTTTCTTAGATTATGTCGATATTACATTATATAACGCTACGGAATTCGAAACACTGGTTGTCGCTGGAAGCGAGCGTTATTGTACAGTGACATTTGCTCCAAAATGTGAATTCAAACCTGCTGCACTTGGTTAGAAGGCACTTAATTTATCGTTTTTTCCAAAAGATAAATAGCGCTCTTTTCATTAAAACTTAAAAGCGTATTTTTTATCTATTTTAGGTGAATTAATGCCAGAAACTTCGTTTCCGTTTGCAAGATATGAATTAGGAAATAGTGCTGTCAATATTAGCTTTTCTGTGAAAGGATTGAGTGCCAACTCAGAGGTGGGTATATTTTGCTATAAGAAAAAAACATTCATTTTATTCTAACCGTGTGAACATCAATGTACGATTTGGTTGTATTAGCACTCAATTAACTTTTATATAAATGTAATGAAAAAATTTACTTTAAATAACTTGTATATAATCGATTCAAGGTCAGTTTGTACCAGGAGAGCGAATTGAAATGTACTTGGCATGGAATGATTTTGAGCGTATATGAAGAGCCTAAAAATTGCGGTAATAAATGTGGAATAATATTGAAAGTTAGATTTAAGCAATTTAAGTCCATTATTTCTTGAACCCACAGAGAACCTAGCCGTAAACATAGAAAAGGATCAACTTGAATACACTTATGTGTACGAACGAGATGGATTAGAAAACAGCACCAATTTTTTTATTGAAGGTGAATGGTCAAAAATAGGGGTTTCTATCTACTGGATGAGGAAAGGTATTGTCGCCTTTGAACACTTCATTCATTTCATGAATATTTTTTCAAGCTAAAAAACGTCTGAACGTTTTAGGCCCGTCCATTGATATAGTAGAATGCCAAAGTGAGTTACCATTTTCATAACAATAATGTGCCATATTATATGACAATCATATACTTTTTGATTTAAAATAGAATATGCTTTAACTTCTACGACAACAAGTAAGTTGTTCAGAAAATTGTAGTTTTAAGGATATTAAATACCATTTTCAATAATATTTAATGCATTCAAATTAAATTTTTAATCGGAAAATTTCGTTAATTACAGAATTTTTGGTTAACCACTGCGATTTTGACATTTTCAGAGAGCGTCATTATTTCCACAACAACAAGTAGTGGTAAGACTCTATTTGTATCACCTCTGACAACTTTCTATGAAATTACTCTGACTTTAGAAAATGATATTTTTTGTCCTTATATGTTTATTATTTTTATTAGATGAGTACTACAAACAACTTGAAAATTGTAGTCAGACTTCTGAAATTTTAATTGATATTTATTGATTAGTTACTTCACATATTTAACAAGTTATCGATTATACAATTCAAATAAAATTGATTTGCACTCCTTCAAAACTATGCTAACTTCGAATTATTTATTAATGTTCAAAGCAGCAGGCACAACTGGATGCATATATACAGGCAAGATTTATGTTTTACAGTCACTTTAAATTACTCATTGCCTATTTTTAAATTATTCACAGCAATTTTGCATTCTTTGTATTATTCAGTTCTTCTTGGATTTATACAATTGATCCTCAAATAATGACAGTTATCAGAAAAACCATTTTGAAATTTACAAACCAATGATGACAGACTTTCAAACAAGTCGTTTTATATTTTTAATGGCGCTTTAATGACTGCCGAAAACTTGTCATAAACCATTTATTTCATTCAATTTTTTGCATACTTTAATGTTAGATTTGCCCAAATGTCTTGGTCATTGATATATAAAAGCTATCAAATTTACGCAGATAATAACAAAACCATCGAAACAACATTAATGAAATATTTTAATTGTGAGTTAACTTAGCGGATTGACTAACTTAGAAATCTCTGGAGCAGATTCTCCGATATCTAGCTAGTCTCCCAGAACTAGCTTAGCTATATCTCAGCTATAGAAAAAACACGTTTATTTAGTAAATATATTGTGGATAAAGTGTACATGCAGGGAGCTTAATCATTATCAGCATGGTGGATTAGGTTAAACAAACAAAGGCTACTGGTTGGTCACTGACTGAACGGTTGCTGCACTCAGAGTTTTACGACCACACCTCCCAATCCTGACGTGTTTGCATGCAATGACATGTCCCACTTAGCTCCAAAATTTGTCAGTGATGATCTTGTGTAGAAATGATAGGGAGATGAACAAAAATTGTGTTTTATAAATTGCCCAAGTGTCAAAATCTGTGTTTATGTGTTTGGTTATTTGAAGTGGAATCACAATTAGTGAATCCATTGTGCCACAGCATTCTAGATATGGTCAGATTCCCATGAAATATAACTTTAGTTGTATGTGCTTGTCTTTTATCAGAGGATTGGAAATTTAGAAAGCTTATTCTACATTTACCCAAAGATATGATATTCTGTGAGTCCAACTTCTTATATCAGCACCGATAACATCGATAAATGTAGTTCGCATTTATTATAATTGTCCGCACATGTGCAAAGACGGTCATATACCTTCAGGTATTTTGCTCTACATATGTCCTAAACTCATTCGGCCTAAATTTTCTACCCCTTCCACGAATGTCATATTTGAGTTCCTCTTGAATCTTAGCGTTCACTCCAATCTTCTACAATCCATGCATGGAATATGCTATCATAGTATTACTATTTGGAAACTCGCCTTCTATAGAGCACGTCGTCTTCCAAACGATCATTTACCAAAATACGGAATAGTAGAAGATCGATTCTGCTGGGAAATTCAGTTTTTTTATTATCAGTAAAAATCGCGAAAAAATTGAAATCTTTAAATATTTCGGATGCATTTTAATTGTTTTCAACTATTATGCTTGAATTGAAAAAAAACACAATGAAAATAAATTAATATAAGTTTACAAATTAGTAACATAAATCAATCAATCTAATCTAATTTTGCAAAACAACCTGGCCTATAAAAAAGGATTTATATTGTTATATGAAGAGAGACAAATCTTATGATGTTGCATTCTATGTGATTCACTAATGGTTTGAGAATGTGCCATTTCTATTCCGCTTTGAATCTACAGAAGAATTGATAATTTTTTCAAAATAAACAAAATTATCAAAATATAATTGTAAGCAAATAACTATCCGTTTTCATTATATTTCAGCGATTTATGATGCCAGAAAAGTCTACAGTGATTAGCCCTAAGGCGGAAAATAAATTCAGATGCTTATCAGATAATGATATTGGTGACATGGGGTGCGCAATAGACCTACCTCCACGTGGTGCACTCTACACAACGTATACTTAAACCACTAAATGGTTAATAACTCGACAGTTGACTTCAAACTAATATGACCATGTAAATATATTTGTTATTACTGATAGTTATGCACGAAAGCCTTTCATATGTTTGTAACTCATCTACACATTTTGCCTAGTGCTGTTCAACTACAGTTGGAACGATTTTTTTTAAAATATCATTTATGCGGACCCTTGGTGATAAACATGAGCTTTGATTCAGTTACTTAGTTTAGCTCGTAATTGGAATGACTTAGTTCTGTCTCAGTAGATTACTTAAATGCTAATAGCCATAAGTCAAATAAATTTATATTATCAAATCATTTTGAATAAGCTTACATTATTTCGTAAATAAATAGATTAATTAAATGTTTAAACCCTTTTTGCACTGAATCTATATCCATTTTACTTCAGATAGCCCAAAGAGCACTTAAGTAGAAATAAAAGAAATGATGTGACGCGGTCCCGAGTGATGTTGGAACAAAGATCGTAAACATCTGCAAGTGTCAATCTAAAAATTATTTTATCTGAAAAATAATCCAAATTTTTTAACAAGATATTTTGCCACATATTTACAATATTTTCAAAAGGTATTGGTTACATAGCGATCCATGCTATGGAAAATATGATTGCTTCCTAAACTGTAAATCATTTTACAGAATTCTAAAAATTGGCGATTAATTCCGCCCAACATTTGTTCCCCAAACAGTTTAAATTGCCATATATGTGGCTTTTCATTTGTCAGAGCACTGAATGAATGAATGCTAGAAATCTAATATGCATGTTGTTGGTCGTATAGTTTTAAAAATGGAAGAAAATAAGAAATCGGATTAATTGGAAAAGTAAATTGATTTAAAATTTATTCATTATTTCATTTTTATTCCCCTTATAGTAAATTTATTTATTTTCTTTAGTTGCGCATAATAATAAGTGAGAGTATCTTAGATAATTATTAGACTTTAAGGCAATTAAGATATTTGTTTAAACCTTGCCACAGATGAATACCAATTGACTGCCCAAATTTAGCACAGAAGAACCTGAGTATCAATGGGCTCGAATCTGTTACGTAAATTCTGAGAAAAGTCAAACAGAAAATTGAACAAACGATTATTTTTGAGAAATTCTAAACATTGTATTGTTGTATAAATTCAAAATGCGTCAAAAGTTTTGCAGTGAGAGAACTTCCGGACCACATAAATTTTCAGCATGCAACTTTTTCATAAAAATGATTGTCATCTTGGATATAAATAAAATTAAAATGGAAAACAGATTTGCCGCTGCCTGTTAAGTTTGATGTGCAGACATTAAATATGTAAAATAACAACCCAAATAATTAGATTTTATGTAAGTTGGTCTAACGGTGCTGTCTATATTTCATCAAGAATTAAAAGTTTTTTAACGATATTATGCCAGATCTCTTTGCATTATTTTCAAAATGTCTGGATTTAACCAACGCTATCAAAATCATGAAAGTATTTGCAAAGACGATTTTGATATTCGGCCACGGTGCTGAATGTGTTAGAGATGAATTTCAGCAGTGAGTACAGTTGACTCCCAGCCAATCCGCTTTCAATAAACATCCTGCAATTACTTAAATGCAAATTTTCCATTGCTGGCGCAAGCAATTCCTCTCAACGTTTGTGCAGTAAACAAAATTAAATTTGTACAAATTCGGATGATAAAGAATAATCAATCAAAAACGCAAATTGACGTGAAGCTAAGTAATTGAATATATTTAATTTCTTCCTTTTAACAATTTATTTATTATCTTCTTTGTTTACATTTAGTTGTGCGTAACAAAAGCATGAAAGCATCTATCGATAATTGTGTATTATCATTTAAACCGTTATTTATGGGTAATCCTAAATGCAACCAGTTTAAACATAAATTTTATCGCAACAGCAGTTGTTGTAGAAAGGAACCTTAAAATATAAATATAAATTCGATTTGGAGCAAAGATTAAATTCAATTTACAATCTGAAATTTTTCCGTAAAATTGATTGGCACCATGGATAAAAACAAGAAGGGTAACAGATTTATCCCCGCCTGTTATATGTATGTTAATATGTACAATTACAACATATATTTATTTTCGCGCCATTTGTAGTTGAAGCCAAAAGTAATTGAGCGATTGATTACCTGAGTGCTTGAAAGTGTGACAAAATGAACCAATGATGACTCGAGATATAATGGACGCGAATTTGCGTTCGCACACTGGGACTCATAACGAGTCGTCAGCCTGTGTACACAGGAAGATATGTGCAATGAAAGATTGAGTGAATGAAGGATGAATAAAGTGTCTAAGATCAACAAAATAAAAGGACGAGAGGGAATTATGTCTCCCACGTCGTTTCCGGATGATGTAAATGGTGAACTTAAAGTGACATATTACGAAATAACCATGAAGTCATCCGTAACCCATAATAGAAACACATTTAAAGATCTTACCGTGCACTACTACGAAAGTAATTGCACTGCCTAAAGGGGTAGAAGAAGCGTACGCATTACGAGGAACACGTCTAATCGTAATTGATATTGTAAGTATAGTGCGTACGCCGGAAGCTTATTCATAATCTGAATGTCGGATTAGTTACTTATTGGTTTCTGGTTGTACGGTCGCTCATACGCGGAGTAGCACGGTCGTATCTACCAACCCCCAGTCGAATGCACTTGACAAAGCGTAATTTTGGTGAAGCTCAACGAGACACAGCTTGGTAAGTCGTCCAATAGAACAATGACGATCTATAAACAGCATAATAGTAATTAAGTGGTAAGATGTAATGAATTTACTTATCGGAAAAGAAATAATGTTCTTATAGAGTGCAACAAGCCAGACGTCTTATTGATCTCCGTTTCATTCCAAAAGATGTTATGGAGCATCAAGAGGGATTTAATTTGGTTGAAATAGAAGGAGACAAGTATGGAACCATTAACTGGAACTGTTTAGAGAGAGATGTGGTCATTGTGTCAAGATGATTCCATGATAACTAAAATTTGTGCATTTTTTACACTCCACCAAAGACTGGAAGGACATCTGAATATGAAAGCAGAAAGAAACATTTTAGAATGGAAGTTGATTATTTGCAAATTGTATTTCATTGAATTTTTCAAGCTGCGAATCAGTTAACTTTGATCATGAAGAATTGCCAAAAATTAGAATTGAAACGTGCCAATACTTATTAAATGCGATTTTACGGTTACATTTAATAGAGAAGACGCTTGATTTTATTTTCTGGTTAATATTATCATACCATTCAGGATCTTGTCTACTCTTACTGAATGCGTAAAAGTAGTACAAAATAATTTGTGCCAAGTCGGGGTGTGCGATAGACTGACCTCCACGTGGTGCACCCTGGGTAACGTATACTCATACAGCAAAAAAGTCAATCACTCGGCAGATGACTTCTGACTTCAAACTACCATCACCCCACTGTATGTCATATTCGACTAATTTAACGGTACTCACCTCACCTTTTTTCTACCTTCGACTTTGAAACACTCTTCTGTTCCCCAACCCCCCACCCCATCACGAACATTTTTAATTTTGATGTTCCTTCCCCTCTGTGAAGCATGAAGTCAACTAAAGGGCAAATAGTAACCATCAAACGTCTGCCATTTGATATAAATAAATAAATTGGAGGCAAGTCTGTTGTAAAGAAAATGCGAAAATTTCTGCAATCGACCAAATGTTCTAACCTTGTTTCCTTTCGTTTGTAGTAACCTTTACATTGAACAATTCCGTGAATTTCAAGTTTGCCACTATGATGAGGTTGTTGTGGAAATAGGTACAATCAACCTCACTTCCTTGTTGCTAGCAATGGAATCATTTGTTGTGACAAAATAACCGCCTTCTTTCACGCATTTACGCCATTATATATACCTGAATGAATTTGCTGTTCATATTTCTCTTTTAAATTTTGCTTTTTCCATTGCATTTTTATTGCATTTATTAAAAAAACAAATTAGAGGGAAATTGTTCAAAGAAATGAAATGCTCGTCGTGTTTGTTGTTGTATTGAGAATTATCTCTCTTCATATCCTTTAGATATGTTAATCGTTAAATATTCCTTTTATATTTTCTATTAAGACAAAGATCAACTTTAATCAGCTACGAAGGTAAAATACCGTAATAAGTAAAGCTCAGAATGGTATATTTATGAAGGGAATAAAGCGGTTAGTAAAACTTCGTTCGCTATTCTGAGACTTTTCAAGCCCAGACTAAATTTGTTTGGACAATCAAGATAGGTAACAAAGATAAGTGGTCAAGTTGAGCCAAATTTGAGTTCCGTCAAAATATCAAAATAGTTTCAACGGTTCTCATCTCAGATAAGAACATGTGCCATATCCAACCTCATGAGTTCGTAAAGAATGACTGAGAGTATTATCTACGAGAAAATTATCTTTTGCAATCATATTTCAGTCTTTTGGCGTTTCAAACAAAATAGAAATTTCGTCGAGCTAATCAGAAAGAGTGCAAGTATCAAATATGGCAACTAATAACTTCTGTAAGACGAGAGGTCATTAGTATGGTGACAATTCAATTTGAAAGACTTCCATTTGTAAGATTTTCCTAAACCAATTTTTATCAAATTTCTAAACGGGTGCTCATTTGTCCCATTTAAAGAAAGTTCTTAATTTCATCCATTTCAATATGAGAATTAAAAACATTTGTGGATGACTATTATATCATCATCAGCACACAAAGGCTCTTTCAAGCAAAGAGACATTTCGTGATGGTGTATTCAGTGTTTGAGACATTTGGTCTTAATAGTTAATTCTATGACCTGAGACCATGTTAATGATAAACAGTCATTGATGCCGATCAATAAAGCATCCGCGACCTTGCTAATTACATTCTAAAAGTCAAACATTTTATGGCAACTTGATCAAGGTGAGGTAGTGGACAGTTACATGACGTAATCGGATTGATTTCGTCTCGTCGGTATCGAGTTTCCTTTACTGGATGAATAGTTACATTCAATATCGAATTGAAAAAAATTTATTCCATTCTCGATCCTAATTAAGGTGATAAAAGTAAGCCATAGACTTTGGTGAAATTGCTTTTTAAACACCAATTAAAAGGTTTAAATCAGTTGATTCAATGGATCTTGTCAATCAATTTTATGGTGCAATATGGATGGATAGAATCGGTACATATAATAATAAGACAAACATTGAAACACGAAATTGTAAATGTTCTTCATTCTTTTAACTTTTATGTAAAGGAGTGTTCAGAATTGTCAGACGTACTATGTTCACGACTCGTCACAACACCAAGTGGCAAAACAGAGCCCTTACGATTTTATGTGGGAGATTTGGAAGTATAATATTGTTTATTACTGTTTTTTTTAATTTATTTCCACTTATAGAAAGTGACTGCAGATGAAAGTTCCATTTCGATTGAAAATGACTCTTGCATTATGGGAGGCAAAATGATTGGGCAATCCTGAAATAACGCATCTGGTAGAAATTTCAGTTAACCCTCGAAACTTCTAATCGTCGGCCTTTTATAGGATATGTCAATATTACAATCAATAACGCTGCTGGTTTCAAAACACTGGTTGTCGCTGGAATCAAGTGCTATTACACTGTGACAATTGCCCCAAAGTGCGAATTCAGACCTTCTGAACCGAACTAGATTAACCTTTAATTAATCGCTTATTCAGAAAAGTATATAATGCGTTTTTATTAATAACTTAAAAATACATAATTCATCACTTTTAGGCCAATTGATGTCACAAAATTCATTTCCTTTTGCTCGATTTGCAAGAGAAAATCGTTATGTCAATATTAGGTTTTCTGTAAAGGGATTAAATTTAAATTCGGAGGTAAGTATATTTTTCAAAAAGATTAAAAAATCTATTCATTTGTTTGCAACAGAAATGTGTGATTCGGTTTTGATTAATGCAAAATTTTTCAATAATAATTATTATTTTCAATATTAACTAAATTGCATTTAACTAATTAAACGTCCATTTGTACGAGGAGAGCAAATTGCTATGTTCTTGGCAGGGGATGATTTCGAGTACAAAGAGAAGCATTATAAATTGTGGTAAAAATGCTGAATTGCAATTAAGGCTAGTTTTTTTTTCAATTTTTTCTTAAATCGACAGAGAACCTAACCGTAAAAACGGAAAAAGACCAACTTAAATTCAACTTTGAATATAAACGAGGTGGAGAGGAACATAGCACCATTTTTTTCATTGAAAGTGAAAAGTCCAAAATAAGGATTTTGTCTACTGGATGCTGCAAGGTATTACCTCCCCTGAAAGTGAAATTTAGTTCTTGTTTGATCTACCTTGAAACTAAAGATATCTGAACGTTTCAGGCCCTTCCATTGATGTAGAAAAATGCAAAAGTGGGTTTCAATCTTTCCATTGCATTACTTTTCCATATTAATTGACAATCCTATTTTATGTTTACAAATACAATATGCTACTAATTTTACAACAACACGTGTGTTGCTCGAAAAATATTAATTTAATTTTTTTATAAACTAACATTTAAAGCATTCCAAATTAAAGGACAAACTCTGAGAATATATATTGACTAATAGAGACGATTGCATGAAACGTTGATTGGAGTTTCCCTAAAGACGAAAGTGTTAAATTAGCTTGAATAGTGGTACAATCTACCAAAACGACTTTTGTACTTATAAATCATTGTCTACTTCTTAAAATAATAATTTTCCATTTATATTTCATTTTGAATTATTTTAAACCTGAATATTTAAACCCATCAGTTTAGAAACAAAATATAAAGTAAGATTAAATTAAATGATCCAGTGATTTTTATTGAACATTGTTGTTTAATATTTAGGATAAAATAAAACTATAATCGTAACGATTCGTAACAGTAAGAATCATCAGTTGAACCTTGGAAGCTTGGCACTTTCTGAGAGCATCATCATTTCCACGACTAACAGTGCTGGTAAGACCGTATTTGTATCCGTTCAGAGATGATAATTCGACAACTAACTAATTGATTTCTGAGCTGAGTCTACGATTTTAGAAATTATCTTTGGTCTTTAAGGGCCTATTACCATTAGACGAATAATACACAATGCCTGAACACCATTTTTAAACTTTAAAAATCTTTCATCATATATATTGATTACTTAATTCACATATTTAGCAAGTATTTAGTTTCTAACACAATTCAAATAAAATTAGTTCACATTCGTCCAAAACTACGCTATCTTCCAATTATTTATTTATGTATAAAGCACAGGCTCAACCGCATGCTTATTTACATGCAAGTTACTCGTTTTGCAGTCACTTTCAATTATCCATTGCCAATTTTTTAATTACCCACCAAATCAATTTCTTTATTTACATAATTCAGTTCTTCTCGGAATCACACAATGGATTCTCAAATAATTGCAGTGATCAGAGAAACGATAATAGACTTCTTAAACGATTCATTATCATGTCTTTATTCGCGCTTTATTGTCTACCAAAAGCTTAATATTTATGCAGAATTAACTCTAGAATTATTGTCATAAACCATTATTTAAACAAAATTGTTTATTTGTTAATGCTCAATCTGCCCAAAAGTCTTGAGCATAAATATATATTGAAATAATAAGTTTTTTTTCCATTTACGCAACTTTCCGTCGTGTTTTACTTATGAAGCTTGTCGAAGATACACAGATGTTAACAAAAGCCGCTGTAACAATCGAGGTAGCTAAGATTAAAATTAAGTATTTTTAATTCAATATTTAAGAGACAAACCAATGTGCGTGGTAAGAGGGTGATGAAAATTGAAATTGAGTTTCGACATTAAGAATGGAAGCAAATATATGCATGGTAACAAAGCCTTCGGATCACCATTTCAGGTTTTGTTAAAAAATGTTTGTCAAATCTTATATCAGCACCGTTTATCAATAAATATCGGAATCTAGTATTCTAAGAAACTACTTTTTTCAAAAAAGCCATATGCCCACATGTTGTTTGCTGCAAATACATCCTAAACTCTTTTATCCAGCAAAACCTTCAGAAAAATCATATCTGGGTACCTCTCAAGTCTTCGTTTCTAGCCCAACTCAAAACGGGGATGTGTCATCATATTATTTCTATTAGACACCTCACTTTCTCTAGTTCACTTCGTCTTTCAAACTATCATTTAATGAAATTCGGAATGTTAGAGGATTGATTCTACAGAATACCTTCCATCAGAGTCAAAAAATCAAAATGAAGATAAAGTAAAACGGGGTTACTTTGTGAATCTTAAACCATATGTCAAATAATTTTCCTAAACTTGGAACGCTTCATTCATTTTAACCGAACCGGATACTGATATGCATAAACTAACGTTTAAACGCTGCATTTTCTTCAAATCAAAATCATCTTGTGATCATGTTTCCCTTGTGATTCACTAATAATTGGAGAATGCAACATTTTTAGTAAAAGGAATTGAGAATTGCTGCAAAATAAGCGTAAACAAATGATTTTTCGCTTTCGTTAGATTTTTGCATGGTTTTGAAACATGAGCAATCCGCTGTGTTTAGTCTTAACACGGATAATCAATTCATTTGAAATTCTAATAATGTTAATGGAAACATTGCTTCAAAGTTTGACTGGAAGCTCGTAGAAGCTGATGCGACTTACAAGTTTTATGAATTTAGGTCCAGTGGCCATCTTCAATTTCCATGATAGTTTGGTTGATATTGTAGGTATCAAGCATTTGGGATTAATAATAATACTAGCGCTGACTAGATTATGATCAATTACAGAATCGTCGAATGTTTTGACGTTATTTGGGCTTCGCGATGTCGCTTGAAAACAGTAGAAGTCCAGGGATTGTTCTTGTTTCACTGTAGAGAATGTATGCATCAGGATCCTCTATGTGGTGAAAATAAGTACTTTGTGGCTGCTATTAAGCTGTGTTTCTTTTCTATTTCTGTTTGTTTACATTTGCATATACATGTATTATTGCACGCTGAAAGATTAGTCATAAGCAAAATTGTGAATTTAGTTTAAACAAACGGAGGCTTCTGATTGGTCACTGGTTTTGATGTTAACCGCACGGCCGATCCCCTCAATAATGGTCTGAATGCATGAGATGGTGTGCCCCGCAATCTCAAAGCTTTGCAACGGCGATTTACTTGAATTTCAACTAGTCACAGCTTGCAATTTTTAGCCAGTCAATGAAAAAGTGTATGAAATGACAACGTGGAATTTTTAAATGTCAAACTCATGTTAATCATTGATGATTTTTCTCTTCGAAGCAACTGTTTAAAGAGTATTCGATTGGACACGAATACTTGAATCAACACCTTTTAAATACGTTTGAAGGATCTCATACCATCTTTGGAAAGATTGCAAAGGGCTAAAATCTCATTATAGGACCTTATTTTTTGTATCAATTACTTTTTTGCAATAATGAATTTCTCTTATGAAGTGTCAGGCACAATTTGCAATTTTCATCGAAGGATGAATAGTTAAGTTGAATTGTAAGGTAAATTTGCGTTGAGATTCCAGTTAATGACTTTGCATTATTTTAACTCATTGCCAACACCATTTTGTAATTTGTTCCATAGATGAAATAAAGTGACAATCTGTTAGTGACAATGGAACGAAATGGGCTCCCTTGAGACTGTTGTTCAATTTCACCTGAAAGCAAATTCTACTGCTTTAATTTGGTTTGTTGCCATTCCAAGCACCGTAATAAGCCATTCAAGATTATTGACGTTTGACGTGCATAAAGAGTAAGCGCATAAAAAACACAAGCATATGAATTGAGCATTTACTTCGAATGGCTTGTTCGTATGCATCTGGCCCAAGCCCTGTTCTCTATTGTTATGGTGATTGATCAGTTTCCCCAACCATTCAAAACCAGAAGGCCGGACTCCTTTACACCGCATCCATCAAAGGGCAACGCAGAACTCTTTTGCGCAATTTCGGAAAGGAAACAAGAATCACTATCCGGCATGGAGGAGCAATTTCGTCATGGTGAGATTGCCTTTATGTTACTTTGCCAGAGATACCTATTCATAATCGATTTTTAATTAAAGACCAAGAATTAACCGGTAATACTTTGATACATTTATTGATATTTTGGCGTGCATGGAGGCTCTCAGGTATCTCGTCTCCATGAATAAAAGCAAGGATTCTGAGCATTTTGAGCAGCTTGGAGACACCAATTTGATATCCTTGAATACGTAAGCTGCTTTGAAAGCTCCTTTGCCAAGTTCTAAGGCAATGCCACTTTAAAATGGATTATATCTGCATTTTCTCTAGGTCGGTTGGAATCGATAACTGATCAATATATTGGCACAGGTAAATTATAACAATGCAACCGGGAAAATTATTTCTCAAAATTAAGATTTTATTTTAATCCAAGAACTACCCATACTACACTTTTGCATATTTTGCAGTGGCAACTTGCTTGCTTAATTTAGCATAGATGAACCAGAAAATCGATGGGCTCGAAACGGTAGTATATATCATTTGACCTTAACGCGCTTAATCTGCGTAGAATTCTAGTAGCTTTGTTAGTTCTGGGAGTCTTTTCAATCAAGTTAGAACCTGTCTCGGCGATTTCTAAGTAATGTCAAGCAAAATATTAATTGCACTGTACCATTCATATAATCATTCTTGGGTTGTTGCAAATATTTACAAATAAAGTTTAAATTCA